TTTTTTTTTTTTTATTCTAACATTGTATTTTTATTTTTACTTGTTTTTACAGCACGATCAAGTGCGCTAATTACCTTATCGTGACGCCATGACGTTTGAACCACTTCAATAACTTCACCAACTCTAATTTGAATGAATTATCTACATATATGGAGAAGAACAGGCCTCCTAGATCCCGAGCTCGTACCCAGTCGCTATTTACGGGTTAGATTGGATTGTCTCAAAGAGAAAACGGTCTGGACCGAGTGGAGCGCGCAGAGAGTTATGGGAAGAGGCGGAAAACCTTGCACTCTTATCATGACACCCCCACGCTTTAATCCACCCTAGTATCCAATCTTCTCTCGATCTGCCCGGATTACGTAAATAGCGACTGGGTACGAATCTGTTCTAGATCTGTATAATACGTTGACAAGTCTTTCACAAGTCGGCTAGTGTTCACAAATTTACTTGAATTCTCTAACAGGTGGCAGATATGATTTTGTGAAGTCCGGTTTGTGTTCGACAAAAGAAAACAACTTCCCTTTGATTACATGACTTTGTAATGTTCATAAACAATAAAGCCAATTCGTTGACATTGGTAAGTTGAAATCAGTAATAAAAGTAGATATATAGAGTTACGTTTCGGGGGCCAAAAATAACCTGATTCTCACTATGTTAACCCGGCCGTGAGTGACAAGCAATCTGAGCTTTTGTCATTTGCGCACCGGCATGCATGAGTGTCCCGATGGGGCTGGGCACGAGGCTGCCTCTGCGGCACTCTTCTGCGCATGTGTGGCCATGCGCTTTTCATCTGATCCGATGGTTCACTTCTCAGAGTTTGTGGTGAATCACCACAAAAATTGGAGTTGTGCAACCCGGGTGAGAGTTATGATGTGTAAATATAAAAATTTAGGTGAACTATCACTTGATATCAACTAGCTTCTTTAAAATCCGTGTCTACCTTCAAAAAGCATTCTTCCTATGAATGAAGTGTTTTTGTATAAGCCTATTCGGTTTAACCCCAATCGTTGACACTCAGCTTTCATTAGACTACACCAGCCAAATGGTCCCTTGTCTTTTACACTCTTTCAACTGTGAACCCCTCCTCTTTTTGAAATATATCCAACGAACATTGAAAGATTGTTCAACTCTTTATAATCTTCTCTGGCTTTTAGCCTTTTCTCCGCCATGTTGAAATTAATCCATATGGGCATGCGTTTAACGGTTTTGTAAACCGCATGCCACTCGTATCATGGGCGCAGAATGTCGCGGATTTCTGTTTAACGAGGACTGAAACCCACCACTGCCCTGATTCGGNGAAAACAACTTCCCTTTGATTACATAACTTTGTAATGTTGATAAACAATAAAGCCAATTCGTTGACATTGGTAAGTTGAAATCAGTAATAAAAGTAGATATATAGAGTTACGTTTTGGGGCCCAAAAACAACCTGATTTTTTTCCACTATGTTAACCCGGCCGTAAGTGACAAGCAATCTGAGCTTTTGTCATTTGCGCACCGCCATGCATGAGTGTCCCGATGGGGCTGGGTACGAGGCTGCCTCTGCTGCACTCTTCTGCACATGTGTGGCCATGCGCTTTTTATCTGATCCGATGGTTCACTTCTCAGATTTTGTGGTGAATCACCACAAAAATTGGAGTTGTGCAACCCGGGTGAGAGTTATGATGTGCAAAGATGAAAATTAAGATGAACTATCATTTGATATCAACTAGCTTCTTTAAAATCCATGTCTATCTTCAAAAAACATTTTCCTACTAATGAAGTGTTTTTGTCTAAGCCTGTTCGGTTTAACTCCAATCGATGACTCTTAGCTTTCATTGAACTAAACTAGCTAAATGGTCCCTTGTCTTTTACACTCTTTCAACTGTGTAAACCTCTCCTCTTTTTGAAATATATTCAACAAACACTGAAAGATTGTTCAACTCTTTACAGTCTTCTCTGGCTTTTAGCCTTTTCTCCGCCATGTTGAAATTAATCCATATGGGCATGCGTTTAACGGTTTTGTAAACCGCACGCCACTTGTATCATGGGCGCAGAATGTCGCGGATTTCTGTTCAACGAGGACTGAAACCCACAACTACCCTGATTCGGAAGCGCTACCTCTTCCCGTGTTTGCAACCAAGTTCTGAGTTTGTAACTTGTAGCCAGGAACAAAGCCCCCTGCTTGCAGTTTTCACCAGTACATGTAGTAACAAGAACAGAATCAAAAATACGTTCCTATTTAAAATTGTACAGTAGCATAGTTTCGATCTGCTTTTGTGCCAGTTATTACAAGCCAGAATACTTTTGATATTTGCCAACTTCTCTAAATTGTAGCATTTGGAAGAAAAATAGACATGAACCCCGCGCGCACTATAGCAGATCTTTTTGCTTCTGAAATTTTCTGCTGATGATTCAATGTCCAGACTTTGTACAGTGGATGAGATACATCAAAATTTGGTCGATTTTTCGAGCCGGCAAAAGAAATACAGGATACATGTATCATTATATGTAATAAGGCTTTCTGTGTTGAATTGAACCTCCTCATTATAGGTTAATCTTTGTTTACAATCAATATTTGCCTTATTAGCATGCGGACTTCAGCGTCTGTCCGAGGCATAAACCTATCGGCTCTGATTATTGAAAGGCATGGAACGATAAACTGTCTCAAAAATACTTGAACGTGGTGTATCTATTATCGTTTGTGGGACGCGAGTTTTAAAATGTAAAATTCCGGAAAGAGCTCGCCGGTATGGCCTCATCATCAGCGCTTTTGCTCCTATATATTTTACGGTTTTTGAAAGCCAATACCTCCTTCTACCGTGTTAACTCCAAAAAGCGACGATTTCTAGCAATATTACCATTTTTGTAACAGCATTTAGATTATACTGATGTAATGCGCTCATGTGGAGTCAATTCATATCTTGCATGATACCTTACATGTAGGGCAAAATGTAAATCGCACTGCCACGTATAAAAGTACAATGTAAGAACTTTAGTCTTTTTCAAGAGTCCGAAGTACACCTACACAAGCGCGCAAGTTCCAGGTTTTATTTCATCCAGACTTTTTCTGTTTAAATCGCAAGTTTCAATTTGACATTAAATTATCCGATTCAGTTGGTAGGCACTAATTTAGGACGACAATTTTAATGACAATACAATAACAGATCGGTGATAAACCGCCGGAAGGGTAATAGAACTTAAATTAACTATAGAAAGCTGTCAAAATATAATTGTTTTGACATTGATAACTTTTAATTGACATTTCTACAAAGGCTACCATTGGAGAGTAATTGAAAGAGGTTGATAATAAAATCCACGAGTTTTATCTTGTTACGTTTATTAATATACATTTTTGTGGTCGAAAACACTCGTAGAAAAAGTTGATTGAACTGAGGGAAAATTAAAGCGGAAAAATTGTTCTTCCATTGCTGATCAAAATCGGTCAAAACAATGTTGTTCCGTAGTCTACTGGCCTTGATTTTCTGCCTCTCGGTCGCAAGGTGAGACTGCATATTTCCACTTCTTTTAATAACTTTCTTATTTCTTTCTGACTGCGGAGTGATAGCCCGGCGACGTCACTCAAAAAGGTCGCTTCTAGTAGATTTCGCTTACAGCAGTATATTCAGTGAATTGAAGCGGATCAGATGTCATCCCAAGTTCACCATTGTAGGTTCATTGCTCTCATATGTAAGTCTAGATACGAGAAATGTAACGAGCCATCAGGATTGAAATTCAGTATTCAGTATCTAAACGATCGAACATAAGGTATTTAAGAGCAGCTTCGCCTAAATATCAACTAGACTTGGAAATAGCGAAAAAATCGAATTTCTTC